CTCTCTCTCTCTCTCTCTTATCTGTCTCTCTGTACTTCTCTCTCTCCCTCCTGCCCCCAAAGGCCCATTAGTCTGTCTAACTAGGCTGTGATTACAGGACTTATGTATTCAGTGTGTGATCATAGTGCCAACTTTGTCCTCTGAGTCTCTCTGACTGACTGCTCACTAAGGCACACTGATCCCTCTGTGTATTACCCAGAGTATTCATTTATTTGCACTTCATGTGCTCCTTTCCCTCTTCCTTTTTCTTTGTTCTGTCTCTCTTGCCGCCTCAACTTTTTTTTGTCTTTCTCTCTTTCATGTTAGCTAAATTTTTTTGCTTCTCTTCACCCTCCTCCGCTGATTATTTTCTCTCATCGTCTCTCCTCGCCTCTCGCCTCAGCCTTCCGCTGTGTCTCTCCACCACCCTTGGCCTCTTCCTCTCTAATCTTCTCCAAAAGCCTCTATGTTATCAGCTAACCACAGAACCATGCTTTGGGCACCCAGCAGTGTTAACCCAAAAACAATAAAATTAAGTGTTTAGTAAAGGATCTCTCATGGTCCAGCAAGGCTTCCTGGAATGCTAGCCAAGGCGACAGTGTCTCCTTTTCAAGCAAACCCAAAAAAGAAGAAAAAAAACCATTCACTGTCATTGGCCCCTTAGGGTTTTGGCTATCCAAACTGTGGTGACACTGAGGATCATGTTTTTTTTTTGTTTTTTTTTATGAATTTCAAATAGCAATTATATAACCTATTAATATTCTTCCCCTGAGCAGATGGAGTTATTGCCTTGGGATGAAAAAAATGAACACCTCTTAGAAAATGCTCAGTTTACTTTTGCTGCAAGTAAACAGGCTTGTTCAAGTTCAGCCAGTGTATTGACGGATGTATTTTGACACTTGCTACTCTGTGCAAGCATCAAAAATCCTTCTCTTGTGGTAAATCAGCTCATCTTTGTGTCCATACTGTAGCCTCCGTGTCAGAGCATGAGTCAGTAAGTTTACAGGTCTTGAGTTGCCACATCTTACAAGGCCTTCAGCATGAGTCAGACTGCGTAGGTTTCTACTCTTTCTCTCACAAGGACGTCCATGTGCCCAGCTGTTAATGTCTGTTATTACGCCCAAATATTTGTCATGTAGCAGTGGGTATGAGATTAAAGTCATTTCTAGAATGCCATGTTACTTTGGATGAAAAGAAATGGTTTGTCAGGGAGCCAACCTCCTACTCTAGACTGTGTTGTACAGGTTGGTTACGATAGCCAAGGCTCCTGAAGTGGTTGAAAGTTGAAGTAGAAAACAAAAGTCAAAGCAAGTAACACAGTGAAGTACAAGCACTTTCCAAGGAGGAAAAATAGCAGTCTTTGCACAGGGAGGTTTTGTCTGGTTGTTAGAGCTCATACTGCCTAAAGGCTGTAGGTGTTGGGAACACTGCAAGAGAGCCTAAAACTGTGTGTGTGTGTGTGGTGACTTTAATATCAGCAAAATCCTTTTAAAATGAGGCGATAATGCATCTTACCATATGCCACTACAGATGTTGATACTACATTATACATTAAGATAAATGTGCTGATGACGGCTTTCATGTACGTCTGCTGCATACTACTGAGTATGAAACAATGTTCTTTTCACTGACTGCTCAAATACATCATGACTAGAACTGTGACCTCTTGGTTGTAATGCCAACTTTGGTTTGAACAGGGTGCTAAAGTGCTTGACTACTTTGGTTTTCTGTCAGCCAGTACCTGTTACTGTAATCATAGATATTTTGCAGTGGTGGACACATTTAAGTAAAAGTAGTATTACTACAATATAATTGCACTGAAGAATATTTGTATTATTGATTTAATCTGATCAATTAATCACTTTTGTCTATAAACTGTTGAAAAATATGGAAAATCCAACAGTCCAAAACCTACACATATTCAGTTTGCAGTCATACGACAAACTGTAGCATCAAACCCTCACATTTAAAAACCTGGAACCAGAGAATATTTGATGTTTTGCTTAAAAATATTCCATTAAATTAAGTGTTTAAGCTCTACTTTTTTTCTTTTTCATGACATAGAAAATCCTAATCTGAAAAGTAACTATTAACTGACAGATAAAGCAGTACATCAGTGAAGTCTAAGCATAATTAGCATTACAAGGAAATAATCAAGTAAAATACCTCAAAATTGTGCTTCCAGGTAGCAATAGAAAGAATTTAAATGTAGTTATGTTCCTTTCTCTGTTGTAACACTGCTTTATTTCTTATTTAGCTGTCCATGGTCTTAAAAACAAACCCAGAGCTCACTCTTGCTCCCTGTCCATGGTGCTGAAAGGAGAACACAGACTTTTAAGTATAGGGTTTCCTCTGCTGCACCAGTGAAAGCTAACTGCGGGTACTCTTTGTCTTTCTGTTTGTTTTGAAAGCTCTAGCTTAAGTCCTCAACAGATGGTATTTAATGCATTTATCAAAGGATATGTTCACTCTCACCAGATTTTGACAAGCCTGCTCCAGTGTTAATAGCTATCTTTCATTATTTCAACTTTAACATGTCATGTTGCACTTACACTGTAAATTTAAGACTACTCTTTCCTCATGAGGGAGTCTTAATTATGTTTTGTTGTTATGCACTTATGGCACACTGCTGATGACAAATGTCTTTATACTGATAAGCTAAAGCATAGGACTCTATAATCCCTGCTAAATTGACCACTGACCTCTGCTTGTCTTTCCCCTTTATTTCCTGCAGTGGTGCTGCTGAATTCTAAAGAGACTCAGGCAGAGCTGGGCTGGACGTCATATCCCCCCAATGGAGTAAGTGGTGCTTACTTGCATTTTTCATTGTCTGTATGTTTGTTTATTTGCTTGTTCACTCACTAGGCTCCACAACACAGCTTCTTGCTCAACAGCTGGCCCAGAACACCCCTTTTCATCCTTCTCCTCCTCATGCTACTTCTGCTCTTCTTTCTTCTACTTATCATTCCCTCTCTTCCTTACACCTTGCACTCCCGGTCCAGAGCTCATCATTATCATTAATCGATGGTGCTAATCCAGGCTAGGATACTGCGGTGTCCAAACCAGCCACACAGATATGCTGTCACAGATAAATTGCCCCCCTCTATATCGATCGATTTGGCTTGTACAAAACCATAGCGCTAAGTTATGACTGCAAGACAAATGCAGGAGGTCTTTTTAAAGAATCTTCCGCTCCCAAAGCAGTTTGTCTCACACTTCCTACCTGGAGGTTGGCCTTTTCATACGTAACACAACCGAGATGTCTATTATATAAACAACATGTGTTGGGAATGGCATGTATTGACATATACAGCACAGTGTACACATACAGTATAAACTGTTTAGTGTAGTGTGTGTTGAATCACTATCACCTTGAGGTGGCTGTTGGACCACATGCAAAGCTAAATCTAAGATTAATGGACTGGTGTGACTCACCTACCAGCCCCAGTAGAACTGAGAGAGAACACACTGCATCCACTTTGATTTAGTAACTTTGGCAGTAGTGCAGTATATCACATTACCATCACAGATAATCTATTTTCACTGTCTGGTCTGCTGTGTGTGTGTGTGTTTATGTGAGATAGAGTGATAGATTCACATTTGGTTTACTTTCAGTTCTGTCAAGTCAGAGAGTCCTGGTAATTCAGATAGTGAGATGGAGTAATCATTCATCCACTGGAAAATTAATATATCAGATGAAAAGTTTTTCTGATTTTTGCTTTATATTGCATATTTTCTCACTGAAAGTAAATTGAACTTTGCTACTAGTGGGCAAATTTAGGGATTGTACAAAAATGATTGGAGTGGGGAAGAGGGGGTTGCATGGTCGTCTCCATCATTAATACATTGTTCTTGGGACCCTCCCCTTAATTAAGAGGAACATTGCAATACCCTCACCTAATAAATCAATATAATTATATAGCAGTAGTGAACAAGTTGTCATTTTAGCCTATTTCACTTATCAGGTATTCAATTCAAAGACAGAGCCCACTATTTCAATGCCAAATTAAGACTAAAGGGGAACAAAAGTTTGTTCTGAAAAGCCATGTTTACGCTCATATTTGAGACATTACATTAATCTTACCATATCTTCTTTTTAATGTGTTCCTTGGGAGTGACGCAGCAGAGTGTAGGCAGAAATATTTAACAAACACTCTTCTCAGATGCCATTACTTTTAGTGCCAAAGGCGTTGGAGATCTAAAGAAACTGGCTAAAAAAGCGACTAAGGTCTGACCATTAGTTTCAGAAACACCACTCAGGGCTGATGTAATGGCTGTGAATGTGCAGTTTGTCATTTTCTCTGTGACGTTATTAAAGAATATGAGTGCCGGTGCTTTTTCAGACACCCACACACCCACTTCAGATTATGTCATTAGGCTGTTAACCTGAACCGACTGTATTCTTTCTTTATTTGTCCTTTGCCTTTATTTTTCATTATCTCCTTTGCCTCCTGCCCACTTCACTTCACTTTGTTTTCGTTCTTTTCACTCCCTCATATTATCACTTCACCCCCCACTGTTTGTTCCTCTGTTGTTTTAACTATACCATTGTTTCTCTTCCCATCTTTTTTCCCCTTTGCCACCTGTCTCCATCTCTCTAGTGGGAAGAGATAAGTGGCGTAGATGAGAAGTACAAGCCAATCCGAACGTACCAGGTGTGCAACGTGATGGAGCCCACGCAGCAGAACAACTGGCTGCAGACGGGCTGGGTGGCGCGCCGAGGTGGCCAGCGCATCTTTGTGGAGCTCCAGTTCACTCTGCGCGACTGCAACAGCATCCCCGGTGTGGCAGGCACCTGCAAGGAGACCTTCAACCTCCTCTACGTCGAGTCGGACAGGGACCTCGGGGGTGTGACCCGAGAGGACCGCTACACCAAGATCGACACCATCGCTGCAGATGAGAGCTTCACGCAGGGCGACCTCGGTGAGAGAAAGATGAAGCTGAACACTGAGGTGCGTGAGATTGGCCACCTAAACCGCAAGGGCTTCCACCTGGCTTTCCAGGACGTCGGTGCCTGCGTTGCCCTAGTGGCTGTGCGAGTGTACTACAAACGCTGCCTCGCAACTGTCCAGAACTTGGCAGTATTCCCAGACACAGTGGCTGAGGCAGCCTTTGCCACGCTGGTAGAGGTGCGCGGCACCTGTGTCAACAACTCTGAGGTTGACACAGACAGCCCTCCCAGGATGCATTGCAGCGCCGAGGGGGAATGGCTGGTACCCATTGGGAAGTGCAGCTGCAGCGCCGGCTACGAAGAGGGACACAGCAGCTGTGAAGGTAGGCAATGAATAAATAGACTAGGGATGCATGGATAGATGAAAGAGGACATAAAACAAAGAGGGGACAAAAGGAACAAGAAATGGATTGTGTAAGGAAAGAGGAAACTAAAGAACCAAATAAATAAACATGGCATAGAAATGTTAGCAAAGCAACAACAACACAAAACAGAAATTTCAAACTTTTAAATTAACGTCTGTTACATTTTCTTGAAGCGTTTACAAAAATCTGCCTGGACAGTGTGATTTAATCCTATGTGTGCGAATGTTGTAGAATGTCTGTAGGGGGGGAGGTTGCGAGTATTTCTAAAGTTGCAAGCAACAACCCAATCTTACGATCTATTCCTATGACGACAAGCATGCCTAGTTTCCCAGTTACAGCCTACTGCATTCCACTCAAAAGTAACACCTTTTAAATCAGTCGCTTATCCCTAACCCAGTTATTCCGCTTCAGAGCAAAACACAGCACGCATCTGTCTTGTTGATCTTTTCACTGCAACTCCGCATTGAAATTTAGGGAAAGGAAAGAAGGGAAAGCAGAAGATGGAGAGTTGGAAGTTGGAAGTGAGAAGCGAGGCAGTTCATGTTGTGTAAAATGGAAGAACAGATTAAGCGAAAGAAGGAAGATGAGAGAGGAAAAAGGTTGATACATATAAAAATAGACACTTGAGCTGTGATAAAAAGATCAAATCTAAAAGAGAGCACTGTTAAGTGCTGAGACAAAGAGAAGGATATAGGGTAGACGTTATTTTTAAAAGACAGACAATAAAAGTACAGGAAAGCCTTTCTCACTCGATTTCAATCCATGCCTGCTTTTGTTCACGACATCAAGGCTGAGGGCCTCGATTTAACAGTGATACCCTGTGTCATGCATATGTCCAAAGAGTCCTGTCACACCTATCGACACGTGAGGCGTGGTATGTGCACCGTAAGGCCAAACAGTCTGAGCGGCTTTGTGTGAGTGTGAACACAATGACTAATGTACTCTTTCTTCAGATGGCTGTGCCCAATTGAGTTTAACACCACATCCTCCCCTCCAACATTTGCATGTAGCTTGCATGGCCTACACACACACACACACGTACATGAAGCATTGTCAGTGTAAAGCCGGTGGGTGGCGTGGGGTGTTGCACTCTGACGTAAACAGAAAGGGACAGTATTGGAATCTTTTGTCACAACCTATTGCTCATACAGCAGCAGCAGTTTGAGCGCCTGACTGTTGCTGTTAACTTTCACACCCCATCTTGCATTGTTGTGCAATGCAATGTGGGTGTTGTAGTCACTGGACAACAGACTGTGTGCATTGTAATGGAGGGGTAATTTAATAGGAGAGCTGATGTTGTTCTGGTTGATGGTTGCAATTGATTGCTGTTATTGGAAATGTAGTTGTTTTCTCCTGCCTATGGTTTGTTTTTATGGGTGTGATTTATAACACTGACTTACAGCTGACAATGATAATGTTTTTCACCTTAAACAGACAGACAAGAAAATAACAGAAAATTTGAACTATTGCTCTGTTGAGTTTTCCTGTCGATACAGTAATAAAAAAGCGAAGTAGAGGATAAAAGAAGACAGAAAATGAAAAGACAAACAAGGTCAGAGTGAAAAGATGACCAATTTGTATAGAGGCAAACGTATGTAAGTGTTGGAGAAGGTCAGGGATTAGGGGGTTGGTAGAAGGTTTATGGCAGAGCAATAGACATAAGGGGCCAGATGTATAAATGATGCATAAAACAAATAAACGTACATACTCTATTTCCCACATAGAAATTGGTATTCGTAAAAGAAGAACCTGCAATGAGAATGTGCGCTCCTCATGCAATTTGTAAAATTAATCAGACTAATTAATTTGATTTAGTGTGATTTATCATTCTTTTTATGTACATTGGAGACCTCATTTTATTTCCCTTTGCTAATGTTTTCTTTCATTTCATTTGATCTTTTCTGTGGGACTAGTACAACAGAAGTACAACAAAGGCAAAAAAACAGGCGGATAAGGCACAGAACTTGTTTTGTTGTGTTGCAGAGTTTCTGGTACTACAGTAAGTGTTTGACAGTTGGAGATAAGTACTGTTCACTGATATTGGCATCTGGTCTGTATAAAACAAAGTATGTGTTGCTTGACCTATTTTTTTCTAATTACCAATAATGCTTTTTCTACAATAAAAGCTGAGCTGAGGACAATAAAATCTGACGAGCAGAGTAGTGATGAGAAAAGCCAGGAAACACTGGAGAGACAAAGTTGAGGATGGAGGGAGAATTATGAGATTTCTAACAGTGAGAGAAGAGTAAAAACTTTTTAAGGGAAGACTAGGACAAGCCAGGCATGTTGCCAAAGGAGCCAGCAGACAAGGATGGTGAAGTCCAGTGACAGCAACAATGAAGACAGGAAGCCCAGAGGGAGAGAGAAACAGAGAGAGTCTTATACGGTATCTTTGCTCGACTTTCCCTTGGTACAGTTTAGTGAGCAAGAGTGCGGCCTACTAGGTGACAAGGCCTGTCATTCTCCCTTAGAGCAATCTACCCATACCCACACATATATACACACACACACTTCCCCTGTAGTGCCTAATTTCTCAGTTCAGCCGTAATGGTATGAATATGCAGCCCCAACCCCGACATCTCCCACTGCACCAGAGCTATTGATCAGCCGTAATGCTCCACTAAACTGAGGAATTGCACTGGGACTGCTCATGCACACATATAGTAAGGGGACACACATTCAGTAGCATGCTGCGGTATGTGCCACTGCGCAACACACACACACACACACCCTTAGGTTGATGTAATTTGTGTGTGGAAGAATGACATTTAGTCTGTGTGTGCCTGACAGATATGCATAGTGTGATAATAGCAGTGTGTAAGGGACTTTTGCATGTCACAATCATGCTAATGTCTATGTGCTTTGAGGACATACATTACTGACTGCTGCGAAACATAACATAGTGAATGCAAAGCAGGCAGTCACATAACAATAATGTTCAGCTAATTTCTGCGTGTGTTTGTATACATTTAGTGCAGGTTCTGTAACTATGTCTTATTTACTCCTGGGTCTATTTGTGTAACTGAGTGAGTGCAAATGCACTAAGTGTCTCAGTGCAGGTCAATAATATTGAATAGCCAGTGAGTAGCTACTGATAATGGTGTAAGCAGATAGTGTTGTGCAGTAGAGAAGAGGATTATTACCACACGCAGTCACGCCAGATCCAGGCATTACTGGATTCAGATTATAGCATCTGTTGTCATAATTTAACCTACATAACCTTTTTTGCCGTTTTAATTCTGATACAGGCATAATTATTACATTTCTGCTTGATTGAAGCTAACTTTATTAGAGAAGATACAGAGAGTAGTCTAAATTTGCTAAAAAAAAAAAAAAGTGCTTTTTTTAATGACTAAATGTTGTGGGAACTTTTTTGAACACAATGTAAAATACAATAACAATGCAGGAACACACATGTAGTGAGACTAATGCTCTACTAAGTCCATTGCCCCCCATGCATGCTGGGATGCTTTCCCACATGCCTAGCCATATTTGTTATTTTCTTCGTAAAAAACAAAACATACCCAAGCACAAATTACAGTCGTAGAGGAAAATACAGGCGCAGGAAACTGTATAAAAAACAAAACAAAATCAGCAAAACATAAATAGGCATTCAGATATTTAATCTTCAAATGATATGATCACATTTAACTAACTTTTTTATTTCCACTGTAAATTATTTAAAAGAAAGCTGTTAAGTGGAATGCAGTTCCCACTGACAAACACATCAGACAACACTTTGGATTAAATTATTAACATGCTCTAAATTAGAACATCATATTTTCAATCCTCCTGCTTTGTGCATTATAACTGAATACAAATCTAATTGTAGAAAAGCTGAAGGAAGACCTTTTGTGTGGTGTTCGAATTCTGTTCTGTTTTCCTTGCTTTGTCTCTTAAAATGGACTTACCACAAATAAACTATAGAAAAAAATTAATGAATGAAGAAAATCCTGGCGTCTAAAATGAATGAGAAACACTTAAGCCCAAGTCGCTCAGAAAACTGGAAGACTGTGGTGGCACTTGACCAGCTTGTAGTTGTGAACATGAAGAGGAGTATAAATGTGAAGGAGTTACTGAAAATTAGCATATGTGCCCAGTCAGCTTCCTCCTGTGTAATAAAGGTTTAGAAGCGAAAAAGAAGAATAAAAAAAACAAAACAGACAGAAGTGATACACTGTTGTGTAGAAGCATCCTTTGCTTTAGCTCTCTGTCAGCAAGACCTGCATGTGCACACACAGCGTTGTTACTATATATCTGGACCCTGCATGCATTCATGAATTTGCTCTACATGTAATTGCGGTGATGAGCACACGCATGTTCTCCAGTCTCATTATGAAATGCCACCAGCAGCAACGGACCAGGGGAAAAATTAATTATGTAATTCACCTTGCAAATGCTGCGTTTCATGTGCATGTGTATTTGTGTGTTTTTGTGTGTGTTTCTGTCACACTCATGAGCTCCATCCTGTTCTAATTAAGGCAGGCTGCTCTTTCTATATAATTACTGAGTGTGGCGCATGCCTTCAGCAGATTCTCTTATTATCTCTGTTGTTTGCTGCTCCACAATCCGGCTCCAGGCGCATTCACCACCCTGCTATTCCTTCCTATCGCTCTCCTTCCCTCTCTAATTTACTACACGCCTTCCTTCTCCTCCCCTTTCCCCCTCGTGTCTTTACTTCCCTCACCCATTTTACCCCCGTGCACTCCCAATGCTGCCAAAGAAGTGTGCACTTCATTTCTATCCCACTGATCTCAGTGCTGCTTTATGACTTCCTTTAAAACCTCTGTTAGCTTGCTGTCTTTCTCCTGTCCTCTACCTTTATTTTTCCCACTCTCCTTGCTTTTCTTTGTCCTCCCCCTTTCTTTTTAATATTCTAATATTCTCTCTAACATGCTGTTTCTGTCTCTCGAAACCTCCCTCTCTGCCCATTGTGTGGACCATGTGGCAGGGCGAGA